GAGGATAAGCAAGAAGAAACAAAGGAGGATAAGCAAGAAGAAACAAACGAGGCTGCACATGAGGAAACGCTACGACAATTGGAAGAAGAGAAGAAGGCTGCAGATCAAGCGACGAAAGCAGCAGAGAAATCAGTGCGACTTGCGCAGGAACAAGTAGCAAAAATCGAAGAAGAGTTGACTCGGCTTACCCAGGAGGTGCAGAAAAAGGAAGAAGAGGCTGCATCACTGCGATCAAGCAGGACTGAAACACAAAAAGAGTTGGGAGTCCTGCACACGGAGATTGACAAATACATTGATGTCATCAACTCTGAAGCAAAGGAGAAACACAAGCTTCAGGCTAAGCTTGAAAGAGAGAAAGCAGAATTCCAAAAGGAAAGGGCACAATTGGATGAACAAGTGAAGATTCTGACGGACGAGAACAACAAGCTGGTCAAGAATCAAGAACTACAGATCCGAGAAGAGGTTACAAAAAGAGTGAACCAGTACAAGCAAGAAGCAGAAGCAGATTTCATTGTGAGGAAGAAGGCTGTGAGAGAGGAGGCTGAGAAATGGGTGAAGTTGGAGATTGAGAAAAGATCGAGAAGTGAACAACAAATCGATGAAGACTCGAAACACAAAGCGGTTGGTGATGTCTTGGCCAGTGTCCCAGAAGGAGACCCGAAGGAAGAGGCACCAAAGAATTACAAGAACCAAAAGACGCAGGAAGAGGCAACACATACAAATGACAAGAACCAAGAGACAAAGACAAATGCAAGCGACGGCCAGACTGAGGAAAAAGGTGACTTTGGACCCGAAAGTGATGTCGAAGGTACCAAAGGCGTGTTTAAGGACACAAAGCCTTTGATGAAGACTGTTCCTGAATTGTTGTCTTTGCCGGAGATGGACAAAGAGACAAAAGACAAAATGATCCAAAACATTCTTCAGGAACAAAAGGCCTTGCGGGAAACACTCAGGCAGAAGAAGAAGGAGGAAGCAGAAGCCAAAGCTGCCAAGAAAGGAAAAGGAAGAGGTAGGGGCAAAGGCAAAGGATCAACGAAAGAAGCATCAGCAAAGGAGACAAAGGACGAGGAGGGAACAAAGAATGAGAATGAAGCAACAGAGAATGAATTGCCAGGTGTCGATGATGATTTGGAAGCTGTGGACGCAGAGCTGAAGGCTGAACGAGAGACAGAAGAGGAAGCACACCAGAAACCCAAAAGGATCAAAGTGATCAAAGTGAGAAAGGCACGAGGCAAGAAACAGAACAGCGAAGTCGAAGAACAATCAAAGGAGACCCCGCAGAATGCGCAATCAAATGATGATGAGAAAAAAGTAGCTTCAGAACCAAAGGGTGAGGAGAAGTCAACAGGCAAAAGGAAAACCGAAGCAGAAGTCGAGGACTGTGTCTACAGACTTTCCCACCCAAACAACTCCATACTGTAAATTTTCAATGTGGAAGGGATACACATTCTTCATGTACACTCGGGACTTCAAAACAAATCTTGAGCAGCTTAAGTAAAATATTCAACACAATCATATTGGATTATTGTTTGGCATTAATGTAAACACAAACATCTTCCAGGAAGCAAAGGCAAAGCGGAAGAAGTATCGAGAGGACAGCTGATCGGGTCTTAACTGCAGCCCCTAGCTATGTGATTAATCTTCAGGACCGTCGAGCTGCACACTTGGAGGAAGTGATTTTGCTGTCTACTCACCCCGAGACCCAGTACAAGATAATCCCAGATCCCGCGAGCTTGCTTTC